GGCCAAAGAGCAGTGGGAATGGAGAGTGGGCGAAGGTGGGCGAAGCACAAAGCGCTCCCGGCATAATTACGAGGGCCTCTCAAAACAGGCAGAGACTTGGGTGGCCCTGTGGGAGTGCGGTCCAAGCAGAGAGTTGAGCGAGAGGTAAGAAAAGCCAACGGTGCCCACGTACGCACTAGGGGGTGTGTAGGCAGGGAGGCGGCAAGCACTGACCATGCAGATGCCCAAGGGAATGGGCCGCAGGACGAGATAAGTGCAGCACAAGCTGAGAGGCCAGGGACGCTGGTCTCGAACCCTAAGGCAACGGAGATCCTTGAAAAGTGGGGGCTCATGTGATCACACGTGCACTTTTCACAGTCGAGGCAGGGTGTAGAGAGCTGACAGAAGGCGGTAAAGCTGGAGTCAGAAACACGCTTTCTGATCTGTTGGCCTCCAGAATACAGCAGCAGAAACACATGAAACGTTACCAGAAACACGAAGGTGCTGCTGATACAAATACATCCTTTAACAGCATAACAAACAATTCACACCATCAACTCTTTCCGTGACAACCCAGTCAGCTTAAACGCTGAGGTCCCAATTCCTTCCAGGAATAAGGAGTGTTCCCTGTACACCTGCTAGGAAACTCTCACCACTGGGAGCTTTAAGCTACAGGCCAACACTCAGCTTAACCAAGACTTTGCAATGTCTGTGCCTCTATTTTTTTTTTTTTTAATTTTTTTTCAACATTTGAGACAGAGAGAGACAGAGTATGAACGGGGGAGGGGCAGAGAGAGAGGGAGACACAGAATCGGAAGCAGGCTCCAGGCTCTGAGCCATCAGCCCAGAGCCTGACGCGGGGCTCGAACTCACAGACCGCGAGATCGTGACCTGGCTGAAGTCGGATGCTTAACCGACTGCGCCACCCAGGCGCCCCATGTGCCTCTATGTTTTGTTGAAACCGTTGAAGTATTAGAGAAACACGTGCTTTGAAGACGCTTATGTGGCCACTTGCTTGTTGGAAGGCAGACTCAAGGACAAAACAACTTTGTGGCCCATCTTCAGTTTTTTACCTAGCAATCCAAATTTCATCAAACCAATCAACTCCTTCACAGAAGCTATATTGCAACCAATAGACAAATTAAAACGCTGACAAGTCCCTGGGGCAACCAACTTAAGTCTCTTTCTCCCCAAAGGGCTTAGTATAAATAACCATGCCTGGAAAAGAAATTAACAAATCATACACGGTGTGCCTGGGTGGCTGAGTAGGTTATCCGTGGGACTCTAGATTTCAGCTCAGGTCGCGATCTCACGGGCATGAGATTGAGCCCTGCATCTGGCTCAGCACGGAGCCTGCTAAGGATCCTCTCTCTCTCCCTCTCTGTCTCTGCCCCTCCCTCGCATGCTCACGCTCAAAAAAAAAAAAAAAAAATCACATAAAGACTGTGTGTAAAGTAAGAGCCTAAGCCTCCCTCCATTCACCTCTTGTTTCTCACCTCCTGTTCTGTATTTGCCCCGCAAGACAAACAGGTACAGTCAACACATCACTGCTTGCTTCATCTCGGTGGTAGATACAGGTCTACTACTCGTTACACTTACATGCTTGCAGTGTCTCATAATCAACTTTTATTTAACATTCGAGTTAGCTATGATGAGAGAAGGAGACAGCCCTGCCTGGCAAACACGGTCTTGGCTCCCCGACCGAAGCCCGGTGACCCTAGGCCAGCCGCTTACGTTCCATACTCAGCTTCTTCCAGAGGATCCCTTTCTGCGCCAACGAGACTTACAGAAAATAGAGGCAAACAGGTCAGGTGCTGACTTTAAAATGGGCTAGTTTGTTTATCCTGAGTCGTACGCCCATATATTCAGCATTCACTGAGTTCTTGCCGTGAGGAGGCACCCCAGAGCCCGTGCCGCCCAAGGCCAGGAGAGCCCTATCTTCAAGAGCTAGGCCAGGAGGGGGGAAAGGTCACAGCCGGCCACTGGAAGGCCGGGTACTCCGCGCTCCAGCAGGAAGGACAAGCAGTGCCCCTGGTCCAAGAGCAGCCTGCGCAAAGGCCTGGAGTCAGGGCAGGGCACCGCATATTTGGGGAACGAAGACACACTTGCTGGAGTCCAGCAAAAGAGGAGAGTGAGGCTCAGGCAGCTGAGACGCTCACCCGAAACTGCTCACGTTCTGTCACCAAGCCAGAACCACAGCAAAAGTGTGTACCAGGACGGGGGAGCGTAAAGCTTAAATCTCCAGTTCCCACTGGCTACCGGAAGTGTTACTTAGAAAGGTTATTTGTCCAGAATAAAAAGGGCAGAGCAAAACAAATCCAGACGGCAAACCTCAGCATCATCTTAGCACCTTTTACACGGGCTGTGTCTCACGAGGCACACCTTTTATGGGTGTTTTCCATCGTCTGCCAGCACCTCTGAGTCTATCCCACCTACTCTTACACCCGAGCGTCAAACCATAAAAAGGAAGTAACTAATTAGTTGACATTCTGCCGTAGGAGCTGGGACTTTTCAAAGTTGGGACTCCTTGTAGGAGGAAAGGGCATCCAAACAGGTGGAAGGCTAGACCCACTCCTCCTTAACCAGAGCCGCGGAGCCTCTCATTTCTGGCATCGAATTCCCACAGTTCCTCACTGGGCTCCTCACGTTAAAGCGCTACTTACTGTTTTAAGAGTTCCATATGAATCACGTGCATAAAAACCCTAAGCCTAGTTGCCACACCTGGTGGCCTGTTTATTGTTTCACTCGGTGTTTCCACAAATCGCAGGTCGGTTTACTTTGCGTAAGAATAAAATTGTCTCTCAGGCTTCAGTTACTTATCTGAAACTCTTACACAAGAAAGTTTACAGCTGGAGTCAGAGGCCAGTCTGACCCGTAGTCATGTAGTCGGAGGGAGGATTTTTGTGCAGAAGAGATCAGAGCTCTCCACAAAAGCTCTCACCAACTCACAACCACGCAGCACGCCCTCTCTTTACCAACCAACCATCAGCCCAAAACTGAAGGCTGCCGGGCGTCTGAGAAAATGGAAGAAAAGAAAAGGAAATGACTCAAAGTAATCATGCTTAAGGCATGAGTCCCCTTCACTTCCAGTCGGTAGTTTAGATTTGAACTATGGGCGGTTGTGGGGTAAGAGCACACAAGGCAAGGGTTGTGCGCACAGGCCGGGTTTCCTCCGTCGTGCCGTTTGCAGCTGTACTTTGAAGCACTGTTGTTCTCACACTTAGACAGACACCGAGGGCATTTAAAGCATTTGAAAAAATAAAAGGTAAGGTCCTAGCTGCGTGAATGGGACGGCTTCTTACTTAACATCCTGACAACCTTATTTTAAAATACACGAAACACAATGTAACCGGTGCGCGGGGCACCTACGTGAGCTCCCGAAGTTGTTCAGTGATCAAGGAAGCTCGGGCTTCAACTCATGTAAAAGTCAAGGCCCCCAAAATCTAAGCGTGGGTTGTCAGCGCCCAAGCCTCGCGCTCACGCCCTACCACGGCGGCGTGTTCCTCGCAGGCTCAGGCTCACGCTCACGCTCTCACTCTCGCACCCGGGGCCCCCACTCATCTGCTGCACAAGCGTGCGGCCCGGCGGAAGGGCGGCCGCGATACTAAGTTTCCACCTGGATGTCAAACCTGGGGCGGCTCCGGCCCCCGGGCACAGCGGGAGAGAGGACTGACGCCGCGGGCCCGCGCGACCTTTCCACCCAGACTCAAGACCAGCATTTTTTAAACGCCGAGATTTTCAACCGCCCTTCTCGCGAGTGGGGCCGCGGCAGCCGTGCGGTCGGCGGCCGGGCTTCCGCGCGTCCCGAGACACCACCCCCCCCCCCGCCCCGGGGGGCTCCCGGTCCGCGCCGGGTGGGGGGCGGGGGGAGAGGGGGCCGGGGCGGCGCGCGCCGACGGCCCCCTCCGCGCGCGG